AAAAATGAAAAGCGGCCTGGAACCCACGTTCCGTGGGACTTTTATTATTCCGAGTTGATGTGAGTCTCATCGTTACTGCGCTCATCAATAGCGCTGTCTTTGCAAACGGCTAGAGTCAGACGGCGAGGGTCTACCCATGAGAAGGCGTGTCGCGGACATAGCGGAACGGGTATGGTCTTGTATGCTGCTGAGGATATATTGTTCGCTGCGAAACATCGTTCTGCACCCCTGGGGGCTGCTTTTCGACTAGGTTTAGTTCTCTTTCTCGGACCTCCGACCTTATCATAGAAAATCCACGAATAAAATTACTGCGGGCAGGTTGCCACATTAACATCAACACAATTCAAGTGGATGAGTATTTGTGTTGAACGAGCAACCTTAGATTATTAAGCACACATTAGTAGAGAAGATCACATCCCCAATCTAGACGATACACATTTCTCCACCGAACCGCTAGAAATGCGGCTTCAATAAAAGAGCCCCCAGCTTCAAAGTTGATCATGTAGATGGGACTCCAAAAAGACCACTGAAGGCCAAATGTGCCACTGACCCTTCGCCCCGCTTTAAGCCGCATTTCTACCTGATCGGGGTGACAGATGGGCTATTCAGTTCGACATTCCTAAAAGTTAAGCTCCATAGTTCTTTGATATCATCTTAGTAACCTACGATCCTGCTCGGGACTTCTAACGTTCAAGATAATGTTTGGATGGGTACCCTCCCTTTCAAAACGAGAAAGCGTCGGGTGCAGACCAACACCACAAGTGACGACGGCCTCCAAGTAATCTGGTTAGTAGTGGTTCATAGTGATAGCTGATTTTTGGTAAATGATAGTTGTAATTAGTGACAACTGATAGAATACAACTGCAACAGGCTAATCATTTCATTGGCAGAAAACATTTACATTTTGTGGAGGCCGTCGTCACTTGTGGTGTATGGTCTGCACCCGACGCTCTTCTGGTTTTCAAAAAGGAAGGTAGCTTCTCAAACGTTTTCCACTTCCACACTCCGAAGAGAGCCATAGCGCCAAAACCCTCGTCAATAAAGTGTTATTCACAATTGCGATTACAAGCTGAATTATACTAACATATGTAAAAACATGTTAAACTCTTTTAACGATCATTATGTAAAAAATATTTTATTACTTGTTTTGTTTTGTTTTATTTTTCGAGGAGTAACCCGGAAAATATCTTTCTACTCCAGAAGAATATGCTTTTGCCGATTTACAAAATCAAATGGCTTGGCATACTTTCAGAACACCTCCCCATTGTGATAAATGAGAACAAAATCATTTTGTTTCACAAGAATGCTGGGTTGTGAACAAAACTTTCGCCCCAGGCGGGACTAGAACCCGCACCTCTCGCTTTCCGGGCAAGTGCGCTACCAGTTACGCTACCGGGGCACCATTTCATTCCAACTCAGCGAAAGTTTTGTTCACAACCCAGCATTCTTGTGAAACATTCGCAAGGCGAACTGCGGCCAAAAACAGCAGTTAACAAACAAAAACAATCACGTTTATCGATCTCGTTCTAGAATCCGCCACACACTCGTCTTCTGTCCAAAATGGCTAAATAGTTGGATGCGCAATGTCAGTGCAATCATTGAGAAAGCCGCAAATGCTAAAAGCGCTCGTTAGCAATCTAATTGTCACAAGAAGGTTATCAGGAAATAACACCAGTACCGTGATTGCATAAAAATATAGTCTATAGACAGTGGCGCATTTGTTGAAAGGATAGCCGACCTTTCCTCGTTCA